TTATTTTGTCAACAAAAAAATCGTTAGGTGTTAAACAGGGTTCGGGATTTCTGATTTTTTAAACATAAAATAGAGATTATTCGGGGATATTTTTCTATTACATTTTTCTAAGTTATTAAACATTTTTTTATCTATAAGATTAAAATCATATATTTCAAAATAGGTTAAATATTTTTCAAGACAAAAAAAAAATATTAGAACTGATTGTGTGGTTGATTAATCGACATTCGAAGTTAGTGTTTGTGTTTGGGTTTATGAATCTCCAAATTGATTTTTTTTTCTCTCATGTAAATATGTAATTGCAGTCTTGTTTTAGGCTAAAACAAAATTAAACATAATGAATTTTCCTTAAATGACCCAAATTTTTAAAATAATTTGTAATTGGGCCAAGGAAGAATTCAGAAATCAAATATTAGGCTTATCTAATTTTTAAAATTTCAAGGGATTTCTTTTTATTAACGGACTACTGTTTGACCAAACAGTGACATCGATTTTAGGAAATCGCCACGGTTCCAACCAAAATCTGATTTTTTGGGCGATTAGTGGATAAATTGGCGTTTTTTTTAACACAGAGTTTAGTTAATAAATTTTATATTAAAAAAAATCATAAATATAGTGACCGATAGAATGGTTTCAACTTTCAACAAAAGTAAAATATGAACCGATAGAATTCTCCATCAAAGTTTGGATCGGCGTTAGGACTAATTGCTTTCAGGTAAAAAAATTAGACGTCTGCAATCTGCTGTTATCGACCAGTTAGATTATCGACCAGTCGATCTACCTCTTTGAAAAATGTTATCTAACTCGTCACTGTGATTTTTTTGTGTGTGTCACAGTGTGTCTGGTGTTATTGTGTAAATGTTCGTAGCCACTAGCCACAATATAGTTATATATAGTCTCTACCGTATATAGTTAAAGTTGTGGTCCATAAAATACTAAAAATAGAAAGACAACTTGGCCTAAAGGTCAAGCATAGGTTTCATGTGTTGTAAGAGACGGGTCTGGCATTAACTGTGAGTTCTCATATATAGTTTGAACAATAGTTAGATTACAGCTAGCCATTAACACTTGACACCAAATCTATAATACAAAAGTTGTTCAACTCTCTACAGTTGCTTGTCACGTCTGGAGAAGATGACACTTTCATGTTTACCACTTTCATATTTTTCCGCCAACTGACATGTTACCACTTGTTTACCACTTTCACCTTAGAATGAGAGAGTTATTTACATATTTATCAGTTTGGCCGGGGAGACGAGAGTTCTACACTTTATTAGGAATTTTTTTTGGATATGTACTTTATTTGGGGCAAGAATCATTCTCTTATTTTGGAAATCTGTTCCGTCTTTCTATTTTTCTTATAACAAATGAGGTCATATGACACTCCTGGTTGGTACAACACAACAATGGAGTTTACAAACTGGGTATTTGACAACATATTGGTTAAGGTAATGGATGTTTTAGATGATAATAAAAGTGATGGCATAAGGGGAAATGAATTATCGGCTTAAAGCAACGAGCATACATGGGTCACCGGACTTGTAGTGTTCCTTTCATTGCTTGGTAATCGTTTCTTCTAAAGAGAAGTTCTAACACCGTCGAATACACAAATAAGCATGCACTTCTACATGTGGTAAGCCACTCAAGGCTTATGTACGCAGAACAAGATATAAGATCAAGAGAAAACATGAAAAGATCGAGCTGAAGAATTTGAACTTAGTTCTAGATTTGGTTAAATGAGCTGTAACAAACAACTGTATACGATTACTTTTAAGCTGTGTTCGAAAACTCGGACGCGGCGGCCGAGTAAACGGCGGGCAGGCGCTCCTCGGTGGCTAACCGAGGCGAATTTGGCATATGCGGCCAAAAACTCGGAAATATCGAATTTCTCAACTTTTTGTGGGTTTTGAAAGTTTAGATCGAGTTCTGGGTTGTA